ATATTATATCTGCCTCCACCACCACCTCTGGCAGTGCGTTCCAGACAATGTGTAATAAACTTGCCCCTCACATCTCCTTTGAACTTTCTCCCACTCATCTTAAATACATGCCCCCTAGTATTAGACATTTCAACTTTTGGAAGATTCTGACTGTCAACCCTACCTACGCATCTCAATTTTATAGATTTCTATCAAGTCTCCCCCCGACTCAGCCTGTGCTGCTCAAGAGAAAACAACCTGAGTTTTTCTAACCTCTCCTTATAGCTCATACCTTCTAATCCTGATAAACCTCTTCTGCACTCTCTCCACAGCCTCCACATCCTTCCTGTAATGTAGCAACCAGAAATGAATGCAATACCATTAAGTGTGGCCTAACCAAAGTCTTATAAGGTTGCAACTTGACATCCTGACTCTTACACTCAATTCCCTAAGCAATAAAGGCAAGCATGCCATACACCTTCTTTATCACCCTATCTACTTGTGTAGCTACTTTCAGGGAGCTATGGACTTGAACCTCAAGATCCTTCTGTACATCAATGTTGTTCAGAGTCCTGCCATTAACTGTTTACTTTTCCTTAACATTTGATCTCCCAAATTGCAGCACCTCACATTTACCCGGATTAAACTCCATCTGCCATTTCTCTGCCCATATCTGCAACTGATCTATATCCCGCTGCATCTTTTGACAACCTTCTACACTATCCACAACTCCACCGATCTTTGTATCATCTGCAAACTTATAACCCACCCTTCTGCATTTTTATCCAAGTCATTTATATGCATCACAAACAGCAGAGGCCCCAGTACGGATCCCTGCAGAATACCACTAGTCACAGACTGCGAGCCTGAAAAACACCCTTCCACCACTACCCTGACTTCTACGGTAAACCCAATTCTGAATTCACACAGCCAAGTCAACCGTGGATGCCACACATCTTAATCTTATGGACGAGCCTACCTTGACAGAACCTTGTTGAAAGCCTTACTAAAATCCATGTAAACAAATCCACTGCCATGCCCTCTTTGAATTTTCAAGGAGCTGACGATGGTGATCAATCAAGTTAGTCAGACATAAGCCCTGCATAAAGCCATGCTTTTCCAAATGTGCATAAATCCTAACTGTAAGAATTCTCTCCAATACCTTCCCATGCACTGATGTGAGACTCACTAGTCTGTAGTTTCCTGGATTATCCCTATTTCACTTCTTGAACGGAGGAACACCATTAGCTACATTAAGCATGGCTGGTGCATCCTCAGTTGTAATTGAAACCAGTTTGTTGATTGGAGTATTATTCTCAAGCAAGTATCTTTTGAATTTGTTCTTATTCTCATTTCTTGCTCTCTCGTTAAAGGGGCAAAAGGGTGACAAGATCCTCTTCAGTTGTCCATAAAAACCATCCACACAAAAGCTCAGCTAGCTGTGTTGGTCATATTAATAGATTCATTCATTGACCTGCAATGAGAAGCATTCAGTCCTTCAGGTCCTGCTTTAGTTGCTGTAAGTTGTCTTTAGATAAAGATTCTACCTTGATTTGCTGCTGTGAAAACACCAACTGACATGCTCTGGATTGCTGTTAGTATGTTGTCTGTGTTCTTAAAGTCTCTGAATGGTCTGTGCCCACAGTCTTGCCTGTTTAAGTTCTTTGTTATCTGTACATGATTTCTTGTGTTTCACAAGATGACAGCAAACACAAAATGATAGATCAGTGCAGGCCTTACCTTTAGGTGCTGGTTTAGAAATAAAAACTGTTGAGCTTTCAAATTGGCCTTCAGCTCGCCAATAATATTTGTCCAAAAGAAAACAATTTAAATTTACAGTAAATCGTTGTGGTATGATTCCAAATTCTGTTTTACTTTTCATTAGTTGTATTTTACTTGTGAACAGAAATTCATTTTTCTATTCCACATGTAAGCTGTTATTTTTGGTTTCTTTATAGATGGCCCACATTTATCATGCATCATTACCGCTTAACCTTACAGTTTGTGATGTCACTCTACCAGTGATCATGCCGCACCTCCATGCATCTGGAATATCCAGAATGTTGCTGGGATGCTTTCAAGTACAGAGATCACATCTGTAGTCACTCTGTTTCCAGGCCTCTGATCAGCTTGCATTGCTCAGGTACTGGATGTGGGGCATGGCAGTGTCTCCTGTAACTTTCCTCCATGTTGGATTGATTGATTAGATAAGCAGCTGAAGGAATAAAACTGCAGGTCTACAGAGAATGAGCAGAATAAGCTGCTCTTGCAAAGTTTGCACAGATATGATGGGCAGAATTGTGTATTATGTTTATAGTAGTGTGATATACCGGCTTCACTCATAGTTTCTAGCATATTTCTTATTTATTTGTTTGCATTTCTCCCACAAAAGTTACTTTACCCTACAATGGTAGTCCATCTGGACCAAACTGAAACATGATGCAACGAGCTGGCAAAGCCTGTTAAGAACATGCACTTTTCTCAATCCCTGTGCCTTCATGGAAGTCATGCAGCAGCATAGCGATCGACGTGTGCGTGGCGAGGAAATGCACGTAGGCAGTGAGATTCTACAATTCACCAGTTGACTGTGATCTATACATTGGAGACCATGGTTATAAAAGGTACACATTGCCTCTACTGCATCAATGAATTCTCATAGTAGTGGAAAGACTGCCTAACAAGCCGGTTGCTTTGTCCTTGATGGTGTTAAGCTTCTTGATGGAGCTGCAGTATTATAGCCAAGTGGACTGTATTGTGCTACTCTCCTGATTTATATCTTGTGGATAGTGGACAGGCTTTGTAGTATCAGGAGGAGTTCCCAGCACAGGATTCCTTGCCTCTGTAGCGCTCTTCCAGTCAAAATAATATATGACTAATGCAGTTCAGTTTCAGGTCAACGGTAACCCACAGGATGTTAAGAATGGAGGAATACAGCGATGATAATATGATTGAATGTCATGAAGAATGGAGAGATTCAGTCTTGTTGGAAATGGTCATTGCCTGGCATTTGTGTGGCATAAATGACACTGACTACCAGTGAAGCAGCTCAAAACCTTTAGGCATATGATACTACTCTGAGGAAGTCCTGCACCGCATCCAGAGAGTTTGACAATTGCCCTTTAATAATCATAGCCATCTTTCTTCATGCCAGATATGACTCCAAACATTGGAGAAATTCCACAACCCCTCACCAATTTCCATTGACTGCAATTATGTTCTGCTCATTGATGCCAGACAAAGTTAAAAGCTGTTTTGATGTAAAGAGCAATCACTCTTGTATAGTAATGAAATAGACATGTGTAATACAAAAAAGCAGTGACATAAGCTATCAAGTAAAGTATTCTGAAAAAAAAAGAGAAGGAACAGCCTGCACAAGAGCCAAATACACTTCTCTAAAATATGGAATGTATTCCAGTGTAACAAAAGCAGTTTTGAGAAAACCTACTGGAGCCAGACCTTAATAGTTTGAGAGAAACTGTCCACACCTAGAATAAGCCACAAATATTATTCAAAATGGAATTAAGCTAAAATTCAATTCTCATCTGATTTCAAGTTCAGCCTTTGCCCACGTTCAGACCAAAGTAGTACTTAGGTCTGGAGCTGAGTTGCTGTGGCAGAATAGAAACTGAAAATCAGTATGCAAGTTATTGTCAAATAAGTGCCATTTGTTAGCACTGATGGCACCCTTCCATCATTTCATTGGTAATCAAGAGTAAACCGATGGGTTGGTAATGGGCTGGCTTTGAGTTATCCTATTCTTTGAAGGCATGCCTTAAAACCTATCACTGACCAACCATCTGACAAAGTATCTCCATAAAACCAAAGGATAAAGGAGCAAAAGTAGCCATTTGGACCATCAAGTCCATTCGATGAGACTGTTCTGATAATCCTCAAATCTCTTTACATGGCTCGTCAAATTTTGTATAAGACTTATGTGAAACATTATGAAATTTAAATACATTAAAGGAGGTCACATTGCTGTAGGGCATAAAACAATTTAATGCAATTGAATTATTTTATTAACAAATTCTCTGCACATTAACATTGCCAATGAAGCAAACATATACTCGAACATTCTCCGTTGCTCCCAAATCTATCATACTTTGAACACTCACGTCTGAATAGCTCAGAAACAGTTTTGCCCATGGAGTTATCAAGGGAGCAAAAGGCACACCTTCCACAATGTTTTCGTATAGTGAAGGATAGAGGTGGAAAAGGCTTCAAAGGGAGAACTTAGAGACATAACTCATACCCAATACTGCATGTGAGGGCTACGTACGATTTTAATCGCCAAGTTATTCAAGAACACATTCACAGAAACACCGAATGCAATAAAATGATGACAGATAGCAAACACTTCTCCGAAGTGTTCAAATATTGCCATGGATCGACACTCAATAGACGAATGGAGGAAAGTATTTGAATGAATGTGTCCAGTGAAGAGAAGCGAGATATTTCATTTTAACACCAAGTACGAGAGACAACGAACGGTTTGGGGAACTATTTTCACCAGCTCACTGTGTACTTAGACGTGGAAAAAAAGATTGTTAAAAGAGCCTGGTGACGACATGCAATATTTGCGCTTTCCCTTTTACGGTAAAGGGGGAACCTCGACATTCATAAAGGAAACTGAAGAGGAAAATAATAGCGTGGTCACACTCTGGTTTCAGCGAACGTAAGAAACGGGCGCTCAAACTGCAGAAGCAAAGACCCCACATGGAAACGAAAGCATTGTCAAGACTCAGTACCACCGGGGAAATGCTAGAGCACGGATTGAAACTAGCGGTGGCAACTGCAAGTTGATTTAAACGTACGTTCTGGCTGTTAGTTGCTCCGACCTGACCACCACCCTGCCCCGGGATAACCTGACACTATAGGGGCTGGGATTTTATTGAGCATCACAGCTCCCTTCGGGTAAACGGGCATTTGCAGAGTGAGTGTAACTGGGAGAGAGGGAAGGTACTCGATGCTTTCGGGTTCATAAAGCTGGCGGTGAGTTGGGATAAAGCAGTGGCTAGTACCTGTGCCGCTCGTTGCCTCCCCGATTTTTCTCTCTCTCTTTCACAAGCAGAACCTATCAGTGGTCGCCATGTGTGCCATTCCCCAGTTGCTCAGCCTCCGGCTCTGACAGCGCGTTCACATCCTGACCTTTCACCTCTGACCTCCGCGACCCCAGAGCGCGGCTGCTTCCGGGAAGGTAACTTCCGGCTGCCGGCTGTCCTGTTTCTATGGAGTTGAGGACGTCTCTCATTTAGAAAAGGAAGGGGGATCATAACTGGTCAAAGAAAAAAAAAACATAAGTTAGATTGGTGCTTTGTCAAAGAGGTAGGGGTTTAAGCAGCACCTTAAAGGAAGAAAGAGTGCGTTTCAGCATCTGGCGATCAGAAACCATTGATGTATTATGGAATTGGACTCCAGCAACAGAGCAGGAGGTGTTAGCGATGAAACAACTATGGGACGGGTAAAGCCTTCGGCACTGGCAAGCTCCTGCGTGTGAGGATTTAAGCAAATAGCCCAGATTTTGTGGTCAGTATCAAAGCAGCAGAAAAAGATACCCTTTAAATATAGAGGTGCAGGGCTGGATGAACAAAGCAGGCCAAGCAGCATCATAGGAGCAGAGAGGCTGACGTTTCGGGTCTAGGCCCGAAACGTCAGCCTCTCT